GAAATCAAAAACCGATGCACTAAATTATGTATCTTAGTGTAGTCTACTTGTGTGCCAAGTTATATTGAAATCGGACCAAAACTGTAGGAGGAGTAGCGTTTTAAAGGAATTTCACAGAAATTTCTATTTTTAGTAACCACGGCAACACCGTCCATCGAAATCAAAAACCGATGCACTAAATTATGTATCTTAGTGTAGTCTACTTGTGTGCCAAGTTATATTGAAATCGGACCATAACTGTAGGAGGAGTAGCGTTTTGAAAAATTGTTTACAGACAGACGGACAGACAGACAGACAGACAGACAGACAGACAGACAGACGGACGGACGACGGACACCTTACTATCGCATAAGCTCTTCTGGTCTCTGACCAGTAGAGCTAAAAATATAGTCATTAAAAGTCATTGGTCATCTCATCTTCCCAAGTCAAGGATTTCTGATCTATTCCACTTCACATATGTGAAGCGGAGTGGATCAGAAACCCTTGATTTGGGAAATTTTAACAGTTCATTTGTAATGGTTTTGATACTGGATCCTCCAAAGAACTCTTTTTAGCTATTGGGAGTTTGACTTCTTTTTACTTGTCATTTTAAACTGATTTTTCATATCGCTATATATCTTTTATAAATATTTGTTTGTTTATTCAGGAAATGGCACTAAGAAACAGCAAAACTGACCCATGAAATCTAGCATACTCAATACATTGTGAAGTAAATTACCAATACTTGTCAAGTTAAATTACCATTGAGTTTAGAACAATATCACTAGATTATAAAAAGAAATAATTATGAAAATGTGTTATATATTTAAATGAACATATAAGCCATTTACAAGAGGATGACCCATTAAAAATATTCAGGTCTTTTTCTTTTTCATGAAACCATTAAAGTTAAAACTTTTAAGAATCTACAATCTTTGTAAATTTTTTTGTATTGCCACTATGCATACTCCATAAATGTGCAAGAAACATCTTTTAAACAAAAATAATCAATTCAATGACTTGGCTTACTGTACGAGGGTTGTTCGAAAAGTTCATGGACTTATGTCATATCTTCTTTATTTAACGCCATATTAAATCCAAATTTGGTAGAAATATTTTAACAAATTCAAATGATTTGTATTAAAAATTTTTAAAATATTTTGATTTATTTCAAACTTATTATGAGATAAAAACTGCCAATATTGGTTTGCGGAGCAAGTCAAAATTTAGTGATTTACAAACAATACACTAATAATTTATGTAGTCATATCCTCTGTAAAATAGCTCAAAACCAAAATAAATCTAGACGATCAAATTAAGAACTGTTAAATCGTTTGATATTCCAAATTATGACTTAATAGTTTGCTTCATGGAAAAGAAATCAATTTCTGAAGATAGGTAGTCCTCATTGAAAAAGGCAAAAAAGGTGACGTCGTAGAACGTCATGGAGCAGCAGTTTGCGATACAATTTTCTGTTGTACTCTGGAAAACATCAGAATAAAATCTGAAAATGTAAGAAGCATGGAATATCTCAAAAGTGGGTCATGCAAATGTATGTGTAAATGGCCCAGGCGGTATTTAAATGATAGAGACTCTGTATCAGACGAGGACGATCTATGAGAAAACGGATTATCTGTAAAGAATCAACCAAAGACGTTCAGTTAGTAAGGTCTTTGAAAGAGAAAGGCGTTTCACAGTTGTTGGTCTTGTGAAAGCATAGTTAAGCGGTAAAAAAAGAAAACATTGACGATCAAAATTTTGCTACTGGAACAATTGTTTACAAAATGAATTTCAATTGATAGAGACATGTTTTAAATGAGAAGATATTGGACCAGACTCTGTGAAATGTATAGGGAGAAAATTTTGAGAACCTCATGATGCTATATTTTTGACGTTATAATGTTGTTTAGTTTGCTATGGGGTTATCAAACATGTTGATTTTAAAATAAAGTAAATTGATTTCTATTAAATCGAATGTAATGAAACTTCACACATCAACAAAATAAATATTTTTACATATGATAATGCACTTATATTAAATTTCTTGAAAGTAGCATAACGAGGATTGACATTGTCCACGAATTTTTCGAACAACCCTCGTACATTTCAGCGTGTGCTTAAACCACTAGCCTGATGCCTGAACTCTAGTGAAATTTCGGTCGGGCTAGTAAATGTTGGTTGGCACAAGTCTGATCAGACTGGAAAAAATTTTTGAGTGATAATTATCCATTTCTATCAATACTTTAAAAAATTGTCAAAAACATTTTTGTTTGAAAACAATAACCTTGATTAATGAAACATATGTAATAAGAGATTACAGAGCTCACCTCAACAAATATTGTCTTTAAAGGTAAGGCAAAGTCCCAAACCAAGTAATAATCTAGTAGTGTGCATCCCTAGATGTAACATTTATGCAATTTTCATCCGATAGGGCTTGCAGTTACTTGGGAATGAACTTACCTAAAAACCGTTAACGTTAAACTAGTCACTCATCCAGAAAATGTCATATCCAGCATCTGAAGCAAGTTTGAGAGTGTTCATCCTGTGATGCATCAACCATGCAAGTTTGGTTCAAACAGCCCTTATAGTTTACTTTAACCAGGTCACTCATCTGGAAAATGTAGGTCAGATACAGCATCTGAAGCAAGCCTGGTAGTGTGCATCCTTAGATGTATCGTCCATGCATGTTTAGTCAACATAGGGCTTAAATGGTTGTGAAGAAGATTTTAAAAGATTTCTTCCTATAAATATTTCCACTTGACTATATATATAATATGTATACTCCCACTTAAAAATTTGTTCCCCTATTGTGACCCATCCTACCCTAGTTTACACGATTTGATCCCCTATTGTGACCAATCCTACCCCGGGGTACATGATTTGATGCCCTGTTGTGACCCATCCTACCCCAGGGTACATGATTTGATCCCCTAATGTGACCCATCCTACCCCTGGGTACACGATTTGATCCCCTATTGTGACCCATCCTACTCCCTGGGTACACGATTTGATCCCCTATTGTGACCCATCCTACCCAGGGGTACATGATTTGTTCCCCTACTGTGATCCATCCTACCCCAGGGTACATGATTTGATCCCCTATTGTGACCTATCCTACTCGGGGGTACAAGATTTGATCCCATATTGTGACCCATCCTACCCCTGGGTACATGATTTGATCCCCTATTGTGACCCATCCTACCCCAGGGTACATGATTTGATCCCCTATTGTGACCCAAATGGAAAAGGCCCAGGCCCTTGATTTTAAGACCTAAAAAAAAAACCCTGATATTAATCATGTTAATATATATATAATTTAACAAATCATCACATTGCTGTTCTTGAGAAGAAATATTTTCAAAATTTGTTTCCCTTTATATTTTTTCTATATGTAGAACAATGAACCCCCTATTGTGGCCCCCTCTGCCTCCAACCCAACCCTCCAACCCCCTCCCCCCAAAGGACCATGATTTGAACAGACTTTAATCTGCACTTCTTGAGGATGTTTTTAAAGTTTTATATCAATATGACTGATCATTGCAATAACTGTTGCTACCAATATTTGTCAACTGGTTGTAAATAAAACTTCTTTTTTCTTGTAACTCATGTATATATGGCAAGTATGATATATAATTATAAAAAATACCATTCATGTCATCTTAATGTACAGTAATAATCAAACTTTTTATGACTTGGTAGCCTATTAATTCTCTTTAACTTCTTCCAAGTGAATAGTTTTTTTTTAATGCAGACACCTGCACTTTTGGTGACAAGTCAAAGTTCGTTCCTTTTAATATTTATATCATCTTAATGTTAAATGCTAAAAATTTTGCATAGCGCTTTGCCAATCTGCTGAGGCAGCCAAATGAGGGAGGTCAAAAGTTCTGAAATTATTCCAAAAAATTATTTAAACATAATTAGGCAGCCTGAAACAAAATTTTTAAAGTTTTTTGCTAAAAAAAAAAAAAAATAAATAAAAATTTTATTCTGTTCTATATTCCTATTTTGTAGTTTCCTAGTTAATCTTACGATATTGCTGTAATATTACATATTAAAAGTACAGGACATCACGTCAGTAGGAAACAACCCGTTGTTCCTTGAATAATAGACAAGTTTGATGTCTTATATGTTAAAATACTTTCAATTTCCAAGCATTATATATTTAGATACGCCCTTCTGTGGTAGATTAATTTACATTAGCCTTTAGTCTAGATACTTTTTAATCATGCAAAGGTCATTAACTCCAAAAGGGTAATGTTCAAGAAAAACTAGGTGCAAACTCCCAAACCATTTGTAATTATTAAAGGGTTCTGTTTATGGTCGTTGGTTTTCTTAATTACTTAAATAAAAAATAAATTCCAATATCTTATGATACACATATGATATATTGCTCTGCGAAAGTGCACGCTCGAGAGTGGGCCAGTAGGTCATTGGCTGAGACAAGTCGTTCTACAAAACCACGAGACGTGCATTCCTTACTCCTGAGGCTCAAATGCAAGTCCATACGGCTAAAGAATGATGCTAAATGCAATGTGCACCGAAACAAATCAGTTATCAGCTTGTTTACCTGGCATGATCCCCGACTCATTCAACTATCGGGGCGGTGAACTTTGCAAGCCTCTTCCTTCCTGATCACAAATGTCTTCTACACGTGCACCTCAAAATCTGCTAAATGCTTCCTTAGAGATCGTTATTGTAGCTCCTGGACAGCTAAAGCATCCTAGTTTTTGCACAGTTTGATAACTGCTGCAATTTCATAACCCCTTGATGTCACGGTACTGCCTGTTGCAATGAACCTGGCTAGTGCGAGGGAAACCCGCTGACGTCACAAAATGACTCAGAGACGGGGCTTGCCTTCTACAGAGACAATAACAATCAAACAGTAACTAAGCATCTGTCTGTGCAATATAATTTCAAATTTTTTTAACAGTATTGTTTTTTACATTTTAAGATTTATAAACAGTAGTAAATTATTTCAAATATTATCCAAATAGACATTCAAAATATAATGCGCTTGTCGCAAAGCGTTCAGGTCACGTGAGAACAAAATGGCGAATAACATATTCGAAGTGCACATTCCTTAGGATTGATTATCAATTTCGTAGGAAGAATGAGACAATTTTTAACCTGAAACGCAGTGAAACAAAAAAAAAAGTTTTAAATTAAAATGAATTCCTATAAGGATGTGTGGTATGTGAGGATACTACACGACTTTCCTCACTTGAACTTTTCTTTCCGAGAGACAAACTCAACATTTGATCCCGAAAACACCAGTTATCAAGAGGTAAATAACTTGTTGCTTAAAGTTTGATTTAAACAAGCGTGAAATCCCAAAATGTAGCAAGAATTATAAAATATAGGACGTTCAATACCTAAAATGTGGAAGTGATTTTACTTTCAGTTTCATTATGAAGTCTAATTTATTTTGTCAATATATATACAGTCAAACATATTTATAGCGAAGTGTCAGAAAGGGACAATTAAATTTTGATTCTTTATAAACCTACTTTTTATCCAATAATTGTAAAAAACGATATCAAACTGTTTGTTGGGAATGAAAATCACTTCTGCAGAGCTCCAGATAATTTTTTACCTCAAAGTGTATTTACTCCCTGATTTTCAAATCAATGCAGATTTTGCTTTTCAGCAAAATAACACAGGCACTTGGGGTATGGACCCCCCCTTTTCCGTTTTTTTTTCTTTTTAAATCTGGGTTCGAGTCACCTTTTTCCTATTTTTGTATTCTAATATGCACTATATATTACCAATAACGTAACTCTTTTGTTTCTATAAGCTGTTTTTAAATATATCGTTTTCGACTGATAAATAAAAAGAGAGAAGGCTTGCAACTCTTTTCTCGTCGTCTGCCTCACCTCGCTTAAACTTCGCCTGATTATTTATCTAAAGCATAAGAATACATGGAATATGCATACGTCAATAAATTTGTTACACTTTCTTCTTCCTTTTCATATTTCCATTTAATTTTTATGTGCCCCCGATTTGTAAATATTTCGATTAAATCACCCTCATTTAGGGTAAAATTTGTTGATGTGCACCAGCTGGGACGGAAGTGTCCGGTATTTTCGGACGTCATCATTAAGTGTAATGTCATTCGGAACATTAAATGCGAGAGGGAAAAATCCCGAATTTTCTCTTCATATTACATGTAACGGTAAGTTCTGTGTATAACAAGATAACTGTATCTAGCAGATTCTTATGGATAAAGATTAACATTTTTAACATTATTACATACGACCAAGACAACCAAATTTCACAATATAATCATTACAAAGCCTGGATTTTTTTTTTAAATGCAGAATATTTGTAAAGTTAGAGTTACCGTTATTGCACTTCCATCCCAGCTGGTGCACATCAACAAATTTTACCCTAAATGCGGGTGATTAATCGAAATATTTACAAATCGGGGGCACATAAGTTAAGTTAAGTTTAGATTCCTATTTTTCCATGCTGGTTGCACACAGAGCTATTTTGTGCATTGAAATGTTTAATGCTGGTTCTAAAATATTAATTAAATCAGTTTTTTGTGAATTCTATCATCATATTGTGACAAATATAGAAAATATATTCTGAAACTCCAGGAAAAAATTGAGCCAATTTTATCATAAAATTAACAGTTTTTTAGCAATATCTAAAAAATAACATCATAGACCTCCACTTTTGATTTTCTTTTCTGAATATATAAGATAACTCTGATCAATCTACTTAAATTCAGCAAAAGTTTAAGACTTTAAAATATTTTTCTTGCTTGTTAAATTTTTAATGCCCGAAAAATGACATTTTGTGAGTGCAGAAAGGTCAAATAATTGATTATGCGAAGCAATTTGAATTTTTTTTTTTGTCACAATTTTAATGTGTCTTTTTTAAGAGAGAATAACAGCATACTTTGTCCCATGATTTATTTGGATAAAAAATATTGGAGACAAAATGTCGAAGATGTTATTTTGATTAAGACACAAATTCAGTGCAAAAAGGTCAATTTAAATGTACTGTAGCGCCAAAAGAAGCATATTGACCCCCATTTTTTGTTTTGATTTTTAATTAAGCTATGTGTGTAGAAGCTAAAAATATACTTGACAAAAAAAGTTTAAGACTTTAAATATCAGGATCCAACGTCGTTAAGATTAGGCCTATATCGACCGTAGCAAGAGTTACCGAGAAAAATATCCTTCCTTTGGCCAGATGAAATTAATCTTTCAATTCTCATCCCCACCTGCCCCTCTCAAAATATGCTGCCCCGTTGTTTTCTATTTTGTTTGTTTGCTTTCAATGAAAAATATATAATTAGGTTTTGCTATATAAATTGTTGGCATCGAGATAAAAGTTTTAGAGTTACTCCCCGTTTGCATTAAAAGTCGCTTGGCGCTATTATAGCACAGGAACACATGGAAAGCAAAAAAGCAATAATTTTTATACAATTAATAAAGGTTGTCAGCGCACTTTAGATGATATTATTGCTACAGAAAATAGTAAATATACAAGAACTGTTTAATAAATAGTGATAAAGGATAAATTAGACACCGGGCGTGTTTTGCGCAATTTTGACAATATCGATCGACGTGTACGCGTCAAGAACGAAAATTTGGATGTTATATGAACAGTGGAAATCTGTGATATTTTCAGACAAGTACGAGTATTTAATATTCAAATCTTTCTTTCGAACTGGAAATCGGCCTAAGTTATTTCGAATACGCTTAGAAATCAAAATTCCTTTTGATAAAATTTGAAATACTGAGCTGACCTCAATTCACATAATTAGTTAAATAATACTTGTATCATTTAATCTGTTGTACGCAGTACTTTCGTAGTGAAATGCTTATTTATGATTGCTAATGCGTAATTGTACGCCCTGTTTTAATTTTTAATGCGTATTTTGAAAAATTCAATGCATATTTCTGCAAATACGCACCTTATCTGGAGCTCTGCTTCTGGTAAAGCCTGGATTCATTATAAACTTGTTCACTATAACCATGTTTTACTGTATTTATTCATATATCAGGGATTGGTTAAGGCATGAAAGACAATGTGACTATGGTAACTTATTTAAAAAAAGAAGAAATTGACTATTTAAAATCTAATGTCCCAGTGCAACAAGGGAATATACATGGCATGTATATTATTTGAGATATTATTAGGATGCTGTGGGGAGGAACTAGTTCATGTAATACATAACCTTAGTGAAATCACTAAGTAAATAAATACAGATTCACAACAATGAATACAAGTTACCTTTACTGCAGCCAAATGGAGTGTTAGAGGTGAATACAAACAAACGAAGTAAATATTACTTCTGAAAAAGATGCACTAATTAAACATATTAAGCATTTTAGAGTAAGAGTGTACCATTCAATATTAATGATAAATACAAATGAAAAATGTGCATTTTTATCATTATTATTATTTTTACTTTGTCAACAGGAGAAAGACTGCATGCATTTTAGTATTGAAGAAAATTTACAATCAGACATCAAATCGAATCTGTACAAATTTTTGTCCCCCGCTTTCACTGAAAGTGGGGGATCTTAATTTTGGTCTGTCCATCCGTCTGTATTTCTATCTGTCTGTAACACTTGTTTCCATGCGTTATCTCAAGAAGCCTCTGAGCTTTGCAATGAAATTTTACATAACAACTCCCTATGGCCTAAAGAAGACCCCCTATTGATTTTGAGGTCAAAGGTCAAGGTCAAAATTCATAATTTTTTTTCTGTTTTAACACTTTCGTTTCTGCACTTTATAAATATCTTGAGAAGCCTTTGAGCTTTTGTATTGAAATTTTACATAACAACTCCCTGTGGCCTAAGGAAGACCCCTATTGATTTTGAGGTCAAAAGATCAGAGGTCAAGGTTGTAAAAATTTTGTGTGTGTAATACTTTTGTTTCCGGGCTTTTGAGGTTTTGCAATGAAATTTTATACCATAACTCTCTCGCCCCCATCAAAGTGCCCCCCTTTTTTCCTATTGTATTAAAAGTTGTATGGTACTATTTTTAGCACAGGAGCATGTGGAGAGTTATTACACTGTAACACATAATACAGGTATGATTCTTGATTAGGGTATGAGAGGTCCGGGGTTCAAATCCCATACAACCCAGTTTTTTCTCTTTGAAATGTTTTTTTTTTTATGTACTTAATAGTATTCAACATATGAAATGAAGAAGTTATGATGTCTGGTGTGTACAAACTTTCTCATAAAACCATTATTACAGTGTGATAAATATTTCATATAAAAAGAGTCTTCTGTACACATATTGAAGAATAAGCAATCAAATCTATATATATCCATATTGGCATTTTTCATTTGCTTAGTATACATGCATACATTTAATAATTCTGCAAATCCAGGGGGATGGGTGTCCTACACAAAAGGTAGCGCTCCACCAACAATTTTTTGATGGTCGTTCTCACTATTGCTAAATCACTAACATATTGTTTCAATTAATGCTGTGTTTTTTCTTAATAACATTACAACCAAATAGCTTCTTTGAAAATCTGTGTGAAAATCACTGTTATGTGTAGAGTTATGTTCACACCTGTTATATTTTGCTATATTGCTATATTGCAGATTAAGATACTTGAACATACATCTGACATATCCTGTTTATAGAATGGATCTGTTGTGCAACTTTATATTAAGAAAAGAACATTCTATCTAATACTGACAATATATTTTCTAATATGACCAAATCAGATTGTCTTGTAATAAAACAATCTTATAACACCTGATAAGATTTTTTTCCCTGCTTTACTATGAAACAGGTACTTTTTACATGCTGCCATTTATTACATATGAATTTGCTTAAAATAAATGTATAAAAATCATGGGAGTAAAATTTGACCTCATTAGGATTGTGTGTATTGGTGAACACATTACATCAGATTAAGTACATACTTCAATTCTTATTCAGTTCAGATGTAAACTAACCATTTTCCAATCATCATATTATGTTTTGATACTATTCTAACTAATTCAAAATTTGCAAAGAATAAGTTTTAATGTCCAAATCACTGCCAATTTATTTTCATGCTATGTTTGTGATACCTTTATTTGAAACCTAATTTACAAACTTCACCAAGGATGATTCAGGACAAGGTTATATTGAGGCCTATGATGTAGATATGCAATGGTTTGAAATATTGACAATATATTTATACTCCCCAGAAACAAAGTTTTGTGGGTATATAGAAATCACCTTGTCCGCCTGTCTGTACAATCTTGTCTGGGCTATAACTTTGCTATGGGGAATCAATGGAAGCTCAGACAACGTTTGTTTATGACCTGAGGGTATGTCTTGTCCTTGACTTCCTAGTGGATAAACATAGTGGAGAAAATTCATACCTCACACAAAGATTGCTTAAGACCTGGCTCCGGGGCCATAAAACTGAGATGAGTTAACTTTTGATCTAAGTCTCACTTTTGCAAAAGGAATACATAGCGGAAAAGGGAGACTGTGATCAAAAGTGAGCTTGTCTCAGTTATATGGCCCCGAGCCTGAAGGTATGTCATGACCTTGACCCAAGGTCATTTTATCAGTTCAAGGTCACTTGTAGAAAATTGTGTAATTATTATCCTGACCCTGTCTTGAATTGAAGAACATTAGAGGCTCATACATGTCACAAATATTGCATGTGACCTGAAAATAATTATTGACTTTGACTAAAGATCATTCCAACAAGGTCAAGGTCAGAAAAAGTGTATTATTCATTCAGGGAGATTCACTGGAAGCTCAAACTTGGTACAAAGAGTGTTTATGACCTAAGGGTTTGTCTTGACCTTGACCAAAGGTCATTCTGATACATTCAAGGTCACTGACAGAAAATGTATAAAATTCATGTATGGTTTACAACTTCCTAATGGAGAAATATTGGAGGTTCATACCTCACGCAAAGATTACTTATGAACTGAAGGTATGTCATGACCTTGACTCAAGGTCATTTGATCAAGTATAAGGTCGCTTTTAGAAAAATGTCTTGTATGTGACCTGAGGAAATGTATTGACATATTGTTGACCTATTATTGACCTACTGTGATTGAGGAAATGTATCACCCAAGGTCATTCCAGCAAGTTCAAAGTTACTGGCTAAAAAATTGTTGTGTTCCTATCTGGTCTACAACTTAAAAATAGAGTCTTATTGGAAGTTGATAATTAACACAAAGATTGCTTATGACATGATGGAGTGTTCCAAACGTCAGGGTGACCCAAGGTCATTTTGGCAAATTCAAGGTCACTGGTGAAATAGTTTTCAAATTCATGCTTGGTCTATAACTTTCTAATGGAAAAACATTTGAAGTCCATACCTCATAAAAATATTAATTATGTCCTGAAAGTGTGTTGTGATCATGAACCAAGGTTATTCTGGCAAGTCCAAGGTTACTATCAGAAAAAGTATAGAATTTTTGTTCAGTTCTTTATTCTGCAATATATAAGTATTGCAGGTTGAAATTCAAACAAAGATTATTTGTGAGCTGAAGGTGTGTCATAATCTTGATTCAAGGTTATTGTGGCAAGTTCAAGGTCACTGGAAGAAAAGGTGTAAAATTCATGTCAGGTCGATAATTTTCTGATGGCAGAATCATTGGAGGTCTATAATTCACTCAAAGATTACTTATGATCACAGGATGAGTCATTTTTTAACCACAGTCGTTTTGGCAAGTTCAAGGTCATATTTGAAATATTGTATATACTAGGAACTTTTTAAAAAATACAGCAGGGGTTGTAATTGTGTGAGCTTGTTCACACCTCTAGATTTGTTAAAATTGAAATACATTAAAATAAATGAAATTTTGGGAGACTCCAGGACTAGTCTAGGTAGCTTGGGTATGACTGTTGACCATCTTAAGGAAGCACAGCTATGTTTTACATTTCTGTTTACATGCAGTTACATTGGGTTAATTCCCAGTTGGAATGAAGGTGATATGGTTTTAGTATGTCCAGTTCATCCATCCATGTTGACAACATGGGAAAGATGTTTGCTTGAGTTCATATTAAGTTGTTATACTAACTTCCTGATTAAAAGTTTTCAATTACTATTAGATATATATGTAATGCATAAAAAATTGAAGAAAATACTTTGAGTCTATATATATTCATGAAAATTTACAGCAGTAAATATTTCCTATTATATGTGTTTTATGGCATGTGCTGTTTTCTAATCATGAAATTTTTAGGTCTGAGTATCACAAGCAACCTAATGATACAATACCTATAATAACAATACACACTTGCAATACAACGTATCACAATGTATCTGTCAAGAATTGAATGAACTGATAGTTTTACATTTTGTTGTACTGCTAACGTCATCAGTAATAGAAAATATAAAAATATCTAAACACTGCTTACAACATTATGGGTGATTTTACAGTACATGTATTTTAAAGATTCATGTGTTTGTTTTCTGCTGTCTTGAATTGCAATAAGTATAGAAATTGATTGCGATATATATATTAAGTTATATACAGCTCCACTCACTTTTCAGACAGTTGGTAAATTATACAGGACACTTATTTTAATAAGTGCACTACCTTTAAATTGACATAATTTAAATATTTGTAAACATCATTCTACATAATGTATCATTAAATGTGTAGAGATGGAACCAGTTAGAGGCAGAACTAAATCCACTTGTATTCTGAATAACTGAAAGTAGTCAATTTTAAAACTTTAGTACAGAAAGGGTTGTGCCCCTTGACAATAAGATGAAGAGGAACCTGTTTCAGTTGTTGATTGTAAATAATTTCTTCACTGTGTAATGAAAAATAGATTAAAAAGATTAACATCTAAAATTAACCACAAAAACGTGGTTGTAAATGGGGAATTTTTTTAAAGGTGTCATATATAATGAAAGAAACACAATTACTGACTAAAGGTTATTTTCTATACCTTGTCAAATAACACTAGGAACGTTACTCATGCACAGTATTGTATAATTGCCAAGCCTAGGATTTCAGTTTTGAAAACACCAACACAAGGTGTCATTAGAGATAGATAAAGACAATAAGAATAAATAAACAGCAAAAACAAATTTCAATTCTTAGAAATACTAGATCTCAGCCATGAAATCCCAGCTACAATCTGCCTTACCAGATCTATACTATGTACTTTTATCAATCAAAAAGTCTTGAGTTGTTTTATGCTAAAAAAAAATATATTATCCAATGAAAATGTTCTTCAAAGTATACCAATGTATACAGGTATAGAACATTTCAAATGTAATTTTAAAAAGTTTGCAAAATTTACTGTGATATGATACATATGCATAAATTCACCAGAAAAAATGGAAATATTCCATTCCTTTTCATTTTTAATGACCCCTTCCCCCTCCCACCATACACAAAACCACACACACTTTGATCTGAGTTGCAATCACTGTAAAAAAGTATACAATGTATGTTATACTTAACAGTATCAAACTAATGTTAGAAGGCAATAGAACTTTACAGAGAGAGAGAGACTATAACCAAAGGAAATAAGGTTCTACTGTAATTAGGATTACGGCTAATTAAAAGTTATTCCGCTTCACAAAATTTCTTTGGAAATTTCAAGTGTGCTTTGATATAGCAAAAATGGAATAACTCAGATACACCAAATTAGGTCAGATGTAAAAGAAATTCAGAAAAAAAGATTTCTTAAAAAAACTATTCGATCAATTTCAGTAAGGGGTGTAAACATGAGACTGAAAAAAAAGAAAGCAAATCTAGTAGCATTTGAAATAAGGATTACTGTATACAGGGAAATTTTCGCCCCTTCCGCCTTACTCACAGGTAGGGGAATTTAAAATGGGGCGAATTCAAAAAGCACAGTATAATTTCTTAAACAAAATTGTGACTAGGCGAATTTAAGATGGGGCAAAATTGTTTGCAAGTGTGAAAGGGCAAAAATAACCGTGTATACAGTATATCATTCTTAAAAGTGCATAAGTTAAACAAATTTTATCCAATTTTGATCCATTCTCAGGGGCAGATCCAGGATTATAATCCATCAGATCTTCTTTCAGCATGTTCAGTATACACAATGGATAATCATTTGGACTAGTATTAAATAAAGAATTCAGTTTCTTTCTCTTGTAAATTGACTCCGATTCCTTGTCTGTTTCAGTCTCTTGTGTTATGGGCGGCGGCTCCGGTGGCCTTTATATTAGTGATTCTGTTCCTAGCTTCCTGCTGTCTTTGTATACAGTGTGTAAAGAAGAAGCCACAAAAGCCTCCGCGCACCACCTGTCTACGAGTCGTGGTCGCCATCTTCATCATCTTCTCTGTGTAAGTCACAGAAATAAAGGAGTCATCAAAATTCCCTTTGAGAAATTTGTGATATTATGTTTTAAATTAGAATTAATGCTTTAATGAGGAGTTTTTATATACAGTGCGGACTCGTTATTACGATGTTCATTTTGTCACGGTAAAATATCGTAATACCGAGGGCAACGTAATAAAAGTTCCCAATAAAATCCAGTAAAACATCGTTTTGAAAGCTTGTTGTTGTATTAGGAGGTGTATTTTTCTCCTTTTGTTTCCTTCTTCTGTTCAAATTCTTCATTAAAACGCTATATACATATAAATTATTAATAACTTATCTTGAATAGATATCTTCATGATGCTATTTCTTCTATTTCCTTCATTTTAAAAGAAATGTGGGCATTTTTTATAAAAACTTCGGCACTCTTCAGGTATCACACCGGTAATTGTTTTCACTATGTAATTCTATATAGAATAAAAAATCATTAAAAATCAGGTATTCGAATTCATGAAAAAATATTTAGCAGGAAGTGTTAAACGTTACCAGTCACATCAGCTGACACCAAAAAATAGGGTACCTACACGGCATTTTCTGATTTTTTCCATCCGCAAACAGGAATACCCTCAAAACCACGTGTATTCAATGTGTTTATAAACATCCTGTGTGCACCCCAGGAAGTGGCCTCCTATGCCCCGAAAGAAATAGTTCCTGTCAAAAACCTTTAACATTTTACAAAGTACATAAAATATCCTAAGCACAGATACCAAAAATGTAAAAATAGAATAAGGGAAATTAAAAAAAATTCTCACAATAAAAAAATATTTCTTTATTATGTATGGAACTACAATTGACTAAGTTCATTTTGATTGGTCAATTACCGGTGTGATACCTTGAAGGACCTTTGAAGTTGTCAGATTTTTTTCATTTTTGCACCTGAGATTTCTTAAATAACTGTCACTAACATCCTGAAGTCTGGGGATCTAATTCCCATTATTGCTGGAGATATGATGCATTTATCTCCCTTACTCCAGAGCTGTCAAGAATACACACTGAGCACTCTGACAGAAGTTTTTTGGTGCATATTTTGAAGCAGAATTTCATCCTTAATAGACTAAGCCTGGCAACCAATTTTGTATCCGTGGAGAGTATATGCATTGTTCTTCACAACAAACAAAAAATAATTCACAAGTCGGAGACCATTATGCAATTATTACATAACAAAATTGCATTTTACCCTCCTAAGAATGACAAAATTTACAGAAATTGTTAAATATTAGGCTGATAATAAAATCTGCATCTGGTCAATTTATGTTCCAAATAAAGCCTAGGTACTTGTCTACAACCTGCTATGCAGAAGTTTATCTAAAAGCTGTGTTGTAACACAGGGCAGTCCAAATGATATCAGCATCTGGGGAGGTTCTAGACAGCTCTGACACTCCATTAAACTTGCTTTGATGATAAGAAAATGGAGAAAACAATTCAGATGTAATTTATTGTTGTGATTTATGTAACTGGCTTTCTCTGCAGACACAAATTAGCCATGAAATTCCAATTGAACATGCATAATTATCCTCTTTTCATTGAATTACTCAGGAATTTCAAAGGTGTTTGATGAATTTGCATGATTAATTCAAGATTACAGCTTTTTGTTTCACCAAATTTACACAAAAATTCAACAATTAAATTTAAAAATATAAATCTTAAACATTTTTATGGGTCTTAACACTTTTAAATGTGAATAAATGCAACAAAGAAACTAATATCAGGCCATCCTCCATGATTCTTGGAGGTGGGTGGGTGTACAAAAAATGCTGATAAAATTTATAGGAAGTGACAAAAGAAGAGCATGGCACTTTATTAGCTGAATTATGGTTATTCTGATATTTTGATTGTGTAAATATGTCAAATTTCTTCATCACTTTAATTTGTAATTTATTAATATTTCAGTACATTAATGTGTTTAACAAATCATGCTAAAATAAACATCCTGACTGAGACTTAATTTAAAAGAGAGGGTCAACACCTACATAAAAGTGGTAAAATGACAAAAAACATTCTCCGGCAAACTGAAAAATCTTGAATGTCAGCTGTGAAAGCATGGAAAAAGTCTAGAGAACCATAACAGGCATACCATGGTGCTAAGTGACATTCTGTACTATATGTGTGATGCATGGTTGGGACTCAAAATAAGTATTCACTCTCATGCCCTGACAGTATTTATGCATTTTTGGTCATAAGCTTCTTATTTTTGAAAAATTCTTAATAAATTTTATTTGTGCATTACTTTTGTTAGACAAATTTAACTCATTTCATTATTTCTATTCCTCCACTCCAGTAATAAATGAATCACTTAAGGTGAATAAAATGAAAGTAAACCCAGTCTCTGTAAAATTTAACACTTTTTAAAATCATGTTTTACTTCTTCACATTTTATCGCAGTTGTCGCTTTTGTTGAAAACTCATTCGCAAACCCAGAATTAGTCTTTTCTTGAAAAAATCAGCCTAAAGTGCTTTTACGGCAAAGTCTGTAGACACTATAATTGACTGCGGTCAGGTGGTGCACAGAGTTTAAAGTCATATAAAATAAAAAACCAACATTTTCTAACTTCTTTCTACATGTCAGATGCATAATCCTCCTTTGAAAGTCATAATTTGGAGTTTTGAGGTTAAAACATGACATATTATTAGTATTTTACATAGAAATCTGTATAAATTAATGTCAACCCTGCTTCTAAATTTAAAAATATGTGCTTTCACACAGAAAGTTCATAAAATGACATATTTTGTTGAAATATGCCTTTATAAAATTAAAACTGCTTTTAATATGGGTGTAGATGATTTTACACAATCACCTTCAAGGTATCACACCGGTAATTGTTTTCACTATGTAATTCTATATAGAATAAAAAATCATTAAAAATCAGGTATTCGAATTCATGAAAAAATATTTAGCAGGAAGTGTTAAACGTTACCAGTCACATCAGCTGACACCAAAAAATAGGGTACCTACACGGCATTTTCTGATTTTTTCCATCCGCAAACAGGAATACCCTCAAAACCACGTGTATTCAATGTGTTTATAAACATCCTGTGTGCACCCCAGGAAGTGGCCTCCTATGCCCCGAAAGAAATAGTTCCTGTCAAAAACCTTTAATATTTTACAAAGTACATAAAATATCCTAAGCACAGATACCAAAAATGTAAAAATAGAATAAGGGAAATTAAAAAAAATTCTCACAATAAAAAAATATTTCTTTATTATGTATGGAACTACAATTGACTAAGTTCATTTTGATTGGTCAATTACCGGTGTGATACCTTCATTCATCTGCCACCATTTCCTTTTACTTTTACTTTCGTTTCTGTCTAGATAATGCGTTCGTAAAATTTTCAATGTCTTCATATCGTTACTACATAAATAACAAACAATACATCAATCGGCGGTTTTGGGTGTTAAATGAGCTTAGAGCTGCAGTGAACAACTGATGAAAGTGGGCAGTGTGATAGGCATATTCCTGGACAGGATTTGAGAACACACAAGCTAAATGTCAAAATAAATTTGAATTTTTAAATTACTGAACAGAGTTCAATTAGCAGTTCAGCAATTATCAATTTGTATTTCTGCTGACACCTGTGAAGTAGTCCAAGCCACTATCCAAGCTGTTAAAACGTTACTGGAGTTCAAATTTTGCCAAAATTATGTTTGATACCCAAGCTGTCAATTCCCTCTGTTTAACTGCAAACGAAATTACACATTACATATTTAACATACATGCATGCGATTAAATGTTACCCTTTATTTAATAAATTAATTTACTTATTAACCATAGTAAAAAAAAATGATAAAATAAACTTTACAGAGATAGATAAACTAGAGACTACATTTATAAATAAACAGTTTAATTGTTTAACAATGGCTTTGGCACGTCTCTAATTCTGCTGACCTCGCTAGAACAGTCAAGGTGTGTGCAGTCAAGCATCACTAATCACCTAACGGCCCTGCAAGTTAACACTCTGTCAGAGCACAGGTGTTTCAATGTTTATTTAGCGTCTCCTTAAGTGTCTACAGTCGATAAACACTGAATAAACACGGGGTGGAAAAAAAAATTTGGACAGAATTTTTACATCGTAATACCGAGTCCCGGCATTTTAGGACATCGTAATAAACAGTTCTATTTTGTATAGATTTGTTAAAAAATGGTTTTGTGCTTTGAATTTACAACGTAATAAGCGTTCTATCTTATAAAACCGTCACCGTAATAACGAGTCCACACTGTATATATATACTGTGCTATGGTACCAGTATGCTGAATACATTAGGAGTTAGTCTATTTAGATACTTAGTAAAGCAGAAAAGAATGAACTCAAACATTTTTTGAGTAAGACTTAAGTTTTGTATGCTTTCAGAATAATTATGTTATACACATGTAAGTCATTTCAACTGTTGAAAATTCTGTGAAATAAAAATTGCGATCACTCATACTTTTTTATTTTGCTGACATGCATGTGTAATTTAAAATGAATCTTGTTTCTTTTCCCCTCAGAGGAGCTATATCAGTTGGATTTTTTGGCAATGAGCAAACCAGTAAAGGAGCCAAACAATTCCTGGAGGCTTTAGATGATACAAACCAGACCCTAGAGGATGTCTCCATTACTGTAAGTACAAACTGAGGAACCCTTGAGGACATCTCAATTTCACAGTGTAAAGTGTTAAACCTTTCAGGACATTTCTTCTATCTCCATAAGTACAAAGTGTAAACTTAAAAAACCATAAAGACAAGAACCAAGTAATAACTGATATAAATCAAACCCTTGAGGACTGTATAAGTACTAATTATAAACTGATATAAATCAAACCCTTGAGGACTGTAAGTACAAAGTGTAAACTGATACAAATCAAACCCTTGAGGACTGTACAAGTACTAATTATAAACTGATATAAATCAAACCCTTGAGGACTGTAAGTACCAAGTGTAAACTGATACAAGTCGAACCCTAGAGAACATTTCAGTCACCATAAGTATAAAAAGTAAGTCAATAAAACTGAGAGAACATCTCAATCACTGTAAGTACATAGTGTAAACATATACCAGTCAAACCATTGAGAACATATCAAAGAACAAAGTGTAAACTGATACAAACCAACATTCTGAGGTCATCACAAGTACTAAAGAAAGTTAAACTCATGAGTGATCATAAGTGGTCAAAGTGATTATAGCCTGAGAAACTCAAGATACTCCGGTGGCTGTCAAGACCCATGGCCTTTTCTTCAATGATGTTGCATGATCACCCATGTTTACACAAATAGGTGTTAATCACATTTACACCTGTAAAGTTTATTGATTTAGTGCTCAGCCCTTACATATGATATTAGTGTTTTAATTGCCTCAAAATTATTTAAATGATAGTTTTTAATATATAATTACTGATATATTTGTAGGCAATATTTGTTTTCAAGAAAATACAGTTGAACTTCGGTATCTCGAACACTGATATCTCAAATACCATGGATATGTTAAATTGATTTTGAAGTCCCAACCCCTTACTCTTTAAGTATTTTACCCTGGATATCTCAAATCCTTGGATATCTTAATCCCATTGATTTCAAGATAATGAGGTTTGACTGTATATGATAATCTATGGTAATTCATGTCATTGAGCAAAAAAATAATTGATATGAAACAACATTTTATTTATTAGAGTTGTCAGGTAAAATCATAAACAAGGCATTTTTTAAAAAAAAAAATAATGCACAAACTAAGCCGAATTTTTCACTATATGTTTAGCTATCATATTTGAGTATATCTGAAATTTTCTGGAAAAATATAGACATCACTAAGGATTTTATTATATGTGTACTTGAATATGCACAGGGTATGCTCTTACTGCACAAAAAATCAAGGTTTCATAAAGAAATATGCTCATAATATTTCGAAATGAAAGTAATAATTAGATCAGGGTGTGGTAAAATATTGTCATATTTTAAGTAACTATCTATTATGTCATCATTCTGAGAATTTCAGTGTGTTTGCCTTATTTTGGCAGTTTCCCGAGCATTTGAAATAGAAAGTGGTAGCTACAGAAAACAAAAAATTGTGACTTTTGATGATAGTACAGTGCACCAAAGTGCAGTTCAGTTTATGTAGATTTAGTAATGATGCCTCTACACACCCTTAACAATAACAGAAGAGAAAAAAATATAAAAATATCACTAGATCTTTAGTAAGGTATACATACGAAATGCATGCCGTCAAAAAAAAATGTTCCTGAGCTTGCCTGTTTAAGTTGAATAAAGAAACAGTACTGACCATAACATACTAATACATGTACAAATCTTCAGATGGTTCCCTGTTCCTCAGCTGTGTACGTAGGATCAAAGGGGAGCTCGACTGCATGCTTAAGTGAAATTTCATTTTAAAAAATTCTAATTTTTCAAGAACTACTGGGCCAGAAAAGATGAAACTTATCTCATTGACAAGGCTTCCTGTGGTAATGAAGATTCTAAACTATTCAATTCATGGGCCCCGGGGTTAGGTTGGGGCCACACTAGGGAATCTTAAGTTCTGCATGGAACTAAATTATAAAAAAAAATTAAGAAAAATCTAAAGAAACACATAGACATTAGATTGCAAACATTCCCATGTTGTGTGAATTTGATTTTTTTTATAATGGACCCTGGGTTAGAGCTGGCCAAAATCATGATAAAATTTTACATAATGCATATAGGAAAAGAATTTTCATCTCCATAATGCAAGGCCATGTCAGTCATATTGATATTGAAGCATCCGATTCAGAGACCCCTTAGAGTTAGGGTAGAGCAATATAATGTCACAATTTTTCAAGAGAATATAAAAATGTTTTAAAAATCTGATGAAGAACAACAGGAATAAAGTAACTCAGGTACTGTTTGTTGCATTCCTAGCTGGATACTCTTGCGGATGTAGTTGACAAAGTTGATGGACCAGCTGGAGTAGAAGCGTTAAAGGACATACTAGGAAGATCTGGAGATGTTGCCAATAAAACACTGTCTCCTATATTAAACAAAATTGAGGAGCATGCTAAACAAACCAGGAATGACATTGATAATGTCAAATCTCACATGCCGAGTCTTTTGCTGCAGAAGTTCTCCAAAGAAGCAGTAGATGTAGAGTTTATAAGGTAATACTGTCTGTGTAAGGTATATAGTATTGAGAGTAAAATGAGAATACCAGAGGAACGTTCGCTCTGTTGAACAGGTCTCTGCACTATACATTGCTTCATATGGAAAAAATGTGATAAGTAACGTGTCTTAAATGACCTGGACAGTGTTACATGGGTTGGTCATAAAAGTCAAAGGGTTTTAGGGTACTGTGGAATCATTTTAATTTGTGGGGATCAATGTTTGTGGGTAAGCAAAATTTTACGGGTTTGTAGGGACATTATTTCGTAAGTAACTTGTTTAGACAGATGATTCAATGAATCAATACACTGAAGAATTAGTTGTTTGTTGGGATGTAAGTTTGTGGGAAAGGGTGACCTAGGAAATCCATGAGCATTGGTCCCCCTCAAATGATGATTCTACAGTAGCTTTAATCATTATGTACTTACCTGTATCTATGTTGTGATAGATGTTAAAAATGATACCTTGTTACTTATACATTTGTGATTGAAGTGTAACAAATGTGCAGTTATAATCTTAGAATCATGTATACAATGTTTTATTTTAAGCTCTATGGTATAAGTTGAATATGTTAAACAGGTTGACCATTTATGATGTCACTATGAAACTGCATCAGTAAATTTATGATCATGTGACAAACTGCATCTATCCAGTGATAGATACACAATGCTTAAATACATGTAGTGTTATGTAAGGGAAAAATTTTATATATTAATAACTGGCATCATTGTGTTTGTTTCAAGATATTTGCTTTTCTCTTATAGCAGTTGCTAAATAATGCTCTGAAATTAGGTCTTTATTATTTTCAGAATCATTAATTACTGAATGTCTTTGTAGGTGGACTGTCACAATAGTGTTGCTGTGTTTTGCCCTCTTCATACTCCTAACAACCAGTCTCGGTTGTTACAAGAAGTCCAGATGTCTCCTCATGACGTATGTATTCAAATCCCTTTAATTCAGTTATAAATACATTTTTTTCATAAAATTTTAATATAAAGCAAAATAGACAATCATCATTAATGTTTAAGAGAATGTGGACTGATTTGATTGGCTTTGATTTCAGATCGGTCACTTTGGGCTTCTTTGGGTTGTTACTGGTCTGGGCAGGAAGTGGGACATATCTGGGGTTATCTGTGGTGAGTATATTGGACATCAGTCACTCTGGGATACATTGGGTTGTTACTGGTCTGGGCACATATTGGAGAATCTCTGTGCTGAGTATATTTCAAGTAGGTCACTCTGGGATTTTTTTGACCATTATTGGTCTGGGCAGGAATTTGGGGATATCTGGGGTTCTCTTTGGTAACTCAAAATGACATTGTGATAATCTGGGGAAAAAAATTAGCAGAAAGTTTAATTTGCATTACTTTCTTTCAAATGATTTATCAGAGCTTTGATATTGAGATGTATGCCCTGCTTTTTATTTTATATATTTATTTCCAGGGAATGTCAGATCTGTGTTATGACCCAGACAGCTTTGTAGAATCTCTAGGGAAAGATCAGGCACAGAAGGGTAAGATTAGAAAGCTCTTGAGTGAGTGTAGATTTGTGGTCACAATTATGTTTATATATATATTATACTTATTTGGGTTTTGACATTTTATGCATAATTTGCCTGCCTGATATATTTGTAGATGTTATTAAGGAATACTCTCAGTGTCAATCCAGCAAGGGAGTCCCCAGCATATTTAGAAAGGTAAGTGAATTTGATGCATCCAAGGAAACCCAAGAGACATGAAAGCTACAGATAAACTTATTCTAGACCTCTATTATCTGTAAAGTTTTTGTTTTTTATTTGAACAGGAAATCCAGAATGCAGTCCAAGAAGTAACAGAAGCTAATTCTACACTAAATAAATTTATCAATGAAAGCTCCAAGTTCATTCCAGTCGGTGAGGTTGGTATTGCTGTTAAGACAGTCTAACAAAATATTGATACATTGCAATATTGAAGTGGTCATATCAATCCATTTATATGCACAATAAAATATCAAAGCAAAACTCAATATTTCCCAGTATGTATTAATTTTTCTGTGTAAGTTTCAATATAGGATTAAACATTTTTTTGAAAATTTTATCGATGTGTAAACTCTTGACATTTTACTCACAAACTAAATAAAAGTGCAAAGCACCTTTATGTTAAGTTTGTGAGTAAAATGTCAAGAGTTTACACCTCGATAAAATTTTCAAAAAGAATGTTTAATTTTTATAATTCCAATTATGAAGTTTTAAAATTATTTCTCTTTGAAGCCTCCATACAATCCATTATTGCTGTAAACAGCATAGGAATATTTTATGTCGTGATGTGGAAATGAAATGTAATTGAGATGAACATTGATAAAGTTTAACTTAAATTGTCAAAACATTCCATAAAACAAATTTATACAAACTCTTCGAATATTGTTTAAGTCGACCAATATCATAAATGCAAGTAGACTTCAGAAGAATTCGTCCTTGACCATGTTGACATTAACGACAAACGCTCTAAAATGAAAGTAGCATACCGACCGACGACACCCTTGATTTGCTCTGGTTTGTTTAAAGACGGGACAGAATATAGGATGTAGAAATATGAATTTAATGCTAATAAGGCAAAAGTCTGAGGTACATTTCTCTTTCCTGTCAGCTACCAAGAACTGAGCTGATTTGCTTAGATTAGGAACAACGAAAATATCCTATGAGAGATTTAAATAAAAATTCACACTCGTGATCTGACAGTTACATAAACATAACATTCCCGTCTGTCAGTCTTGTATGTCATCAGTATTGTTTTTATTTAATTTAAAGTTTCTGTAATCATTTAGCTAAAACATACTAGAAGTAAGGATTTGTTTCATTTTTTTTTTTTTACAATAAAAGCTAGGCCAAGAAAGTAGTTCTGGTTGAGAGATTTATTGATGTGTAAACTTTTTCTTGAATTTGTTCTCATCCAATCAAAACACAGGAAATAAATAAATGAAATTAAGATTGGAATTATTTATTCGTATATATCAATTATTTTCATTATGAAGGATCTCTTATTTCACAAAGAAATCTCTCAATAAAAGGGAAAAAAAGAAATACTTTAAAAGTCATTAGAGTGCTGAAGCCCCTCACAATATACTGGATGTACCAAGATGAGGCTTATATTGACAGCACACGGTCTCCATGATGGATAAAGAATGACAAACAAACAGACACATTGGATGGTGATTTTTTTCTCGTTTCTTCTTTTATAGATAAGTAAACCAGTCCTGCATTTGAGGACACAGTTTGACTATGCTGTGGGGAATGTGACCTCCCTTGGAGAGTTGCTGGGCTGTCGAACCCTACACAAGGATTATAAATCAGCTGTAGAGGGAGTTTGTGAGACCGCATTGTATGATTCAAATTATCGTTCAGTATATACGTGCCTGATTTAATGCCAATTTTTTAAGAAAATGAATAGTATTTTCTGATAAATTAATGTGATAAACCAATATTTTCATAATTGGAAATGGTTACATTATGCAGAATTTTTGTAGAGTGGGTGTTGCTCTTCTATTGCTAATGTTACCCTTTGCTGAGATTTGTATGATATATTTGTAGAGTGGGCGTTGCCCTTCTGTTGCTAATGTTACCCTTTGCTGGGATCTGTATGATATCCTTGTAGAGTGGGCGTTGCCCTTCTGTTGCTAATGTTACCCTTTACTGGGATCTGTATGATATCATTGTAGAGTGGGTGTTGCCCTTCTGTTGCTAATGTTACCCTTTACTGGGATCTGTATGATATCATTGTAGAGTGGGTGTTGCTGTTCTGTTGCTAATGTTACCCTTTGCTGGGATCTGTATGATATCATTGTAGAGTGGGTGTTGCTGTTCTGTTGCTAATGTTACCCTTTGCTGGGATCTGTATGATATCATTGTAGAGTGGGTGTTGCTGTTCTATTGCTAATGTTACCCTTTACTGAGATCTGTATGATATCATTGTAGAGTGGGCGTTGCCCTTCTGTTGCTAATGTTACCCTTTGCTGGGATTTGTATGATATCATTGTAGAGTGGGCGTTGCCCTTCTGTTGCTAATGTTACCCTTTACTGGGATTTGTATGATATCATTGTAGAGTGGGTGTTGCTCTTCTATTGCTAATGTTACCCTTTACTGGGATCTGTATGATATCATTGTAGATTGGGTGTTGCTGTTCTATTGCTAATGTAACCCTTTGCTGGGATCTGTATGATATCATTGTAGAGTGGGCGTTGCCCTTCTGTTGCTAATGTTACCCTTTACTGGGATCTGTATGATATCATTGTAGAGTGGGTGTTGCTCTTCTATTGCTAATGTTACCCTTTGCTGGGATCTGTATGATATCATTGTAGAGTGGGTGTTGCTCTTCTGTTGCTAATGTTACCCTTTGCTGGGATCTGTATGATATCGTTGTAGTGTGGGTGTTGCTCTTCTGTTGCTAATGTTACCCTTAGCTGAGAACTGTATGATATCATTGTAGAGTGGGTGTTGCTCTTCTGTTGCTAATGTTACCCTTTGCTGAGATCTGTATGATATCATTGTAGAGTGGGTGTTGCTCTTCTGTTGCTAATGTTACCCTTTACAGAGATCTGTATGATATCATTGTAGAGTGGGTGTTGCTGTTCTATTGCTAATGTTACCCTTTACTGAGATCTGTATGATATCATTGTAGAGTGGGTGTTGCTGTTCTATTGCTAATGTTACCCTTTACTGAGATCTGTATGATATCATTGTAGAGTGGGTGTTGCTGTTCTATTGCTAATGTAACCCTTTGCTGGGATCTGTATGATATCATTGTAGAGTGGGTGTTGCCCTTCTGTTGCTGATGTTACCCTTTGCTGGGATTTGTATGATCATTGTAGAGTGGGTGTTGCCCTTCTGTTGCTGATGTTACCCTTTGCTGGGATTTGTATGATATCATTGTAGAGTGGGTGTTGCCCTTCTGTTGCTGATGTTACCCTTTGCTGGGATTTGTATGATATCATTGTAGAGTGGGTGTTGCTCTTCTATTGCTAATGTTACCCTTTACAGAGATCTGTATGATATCATTGTAGAGTGGGTGTTGCACTTCTGTTGCTGATGTTACCCTTTGCTGGGATCTGTATGATCATTGTCCAGTGTCTCCTACCAAGGGTCTGGTACTTAGCAGGGAAAAGGTAATCAATATATATACTGTGGAATCACATATTTTAGTGGGGTCAAATTTTCGAAGTTTGAAGGAAAAAAATTGTTCTGGTTGGGGGGAAGGGGGGGGGATTTTATTTCGCGGATGGGAAAGTATTGAGTAGTTATGTATATGAAATTCTACATTTTGTGATGGAAATGAATTTGTGGGTCGTATCATTCCTGGAAAACAACAAAAATTAAACCCCCACAAAAATTTGTAGTGATTTCACAGTCATGTTTGGCATTTCAAAGGTCTGTGAAAATTTTGTTTGACTAATTAAGTTGAGACAATTTAATTATGATAGTTTTAATTACTTAGTTTGTCTACTGTTTATAGGAGAGGATATCGTCCTGTAGATGACTCAGATCCATTTTGTCACCGCCCACCACCATATAATGGTTATGGTACAATGGAGGGAGGGGGAGGGGCTCGGGGAAGCTGCACACTTGAGTACTACAGAGATCTTCGCAGGTAAATTGTCATATAATAGTGAGAGGTCCATGAAGGTCAAAAACGATTCTGTTCATGTTCAACTGTATATTGGGCATAAACTTCTTGTATCATTCTTAAAACAAAATAAAAAAAAATTACCTGAATTGATTGAGCAGTGAGTTAAAAACCAAGGTCCAGTGTCACGGTAGGCATTGGCACAATAAAGAACCCTGGTCTCATCTGAAAGACTCGTGACTTTCACTTCTAATGCCGGACGCTTGGGGAAGAAACAGTCACTACCTATGTTTACATCTATGGTTTGATGCGGCGCAGCAAACAAGAATCTAACCCAGACCTCCCGATCATAAAGCAAGCCCCAATTACCTGGAAGTGAATTATGAGTGAACAATAGAAAAATTGGTTTACAGTAGCAAATGTGTAAAAGTGCAAAAGGTTAACTTCACATAAAATTGGGCTATGATACAAATCAGTTACTCTCTTGCATTTATGATGGCAGGTATCATATACGCTGTACATACTTGAAGTAATGTAGTGTGAGATAACCATTGTGACATCACATGCAATTCAAGTTAATGAAATTCACATTATTGTGACTTAACTGCTGGTGAAATATATATGTATATAATATATAAATCAATATGATGACTAGGTTCATTAATTTTGATGTGTATTTTGTAGGAGTGCTGATGAGCTGCGGTCTGAAGAGAGAGTCCCAATGAATGACTCACCACCTCCTGCTGTAAGTTACTATGGTGATTATAAACAGGTTCACTGATTGGCTTAATTGAATTTTAGTTTCCATGGTGATGGGATTATATTAGTTTTCCTGAGTTACTGGCTTTATATCTGAGCCTTTTCTGACTTGTGTTTGTTTGTTGTCTTTCTATGTTGGTTTCTTTTATTCCTACAACTTTTTAAGAACCACAGGCAATCCTTAAGAACTGAGGATATTAGTTTGTTCAGCACCAAGGAAGAGTCACTTTTCAAAGTGGGATATAGTTTTAAAATAGGCAGAGTCTCTTGGATATTAAATTTTCAAGAATAAGACAACCCTGAAGAGTGAAGACCTGGAATAACCAAAAATAAAAAAAAATACAAACATGAAAACATCTATAAAGAGTATACAGGATAAAAATCTTATTTTTTTTAATTATCTGGACACCACAGGGATCAAAGTTTTAAATAGAGGTCAAATTTATACAAAAGGGTCAAGGTCAAAATTATTCAGCAATTAAAGTAATACATAGGGCCAAAGTTATACATGGGGTCAAATTTATATATCGTGTCAAATTAATACGTAGGAGTCAATAGGTGTACATATGGGTCAAAGTTATACAAATGGATCTAAGTTGTACATAGGGGTCAAATTTATACATAAGGGTCAAAGATGTACATGGGGAAATCTTCAAACATACACTGTACATGTAAATGAAAATGAGGCTAAAATTGTAAAATCAATGTAGAAGATTCCCCTTGTAATGAGAATTGAAGTAATTGTAAACCATGGCCCAGGGGCCACAAATTTGGATCCAGATTTACATACAACAGTCTACAGTGAAATAAAAAAAGAAATGTTACAATTTGTTATTTTCTGTTAATATACACTAATTCTGCTCCTGTAGGCGAGTTTTTACAATGTAAGTAGAGGAGAAATATGAAGAGGACTGAGATATGAACCATTAATGTTTGCTTAACAGTTGGCTGTTTATATAAAATTCAGATTGCTTTGGTATTGTGTGCACATTAACCATCATTTCAAAAGAAATGTTATGTTACGTAGCCGCCAGAAGGCTTTAATATAGAGTTGTGGTCAAATAAAGAGATGATGAAATTATTAAGCATACAAGATGCAGTTACAGGAAGAAAGACTTGGGTGCCAGGTGGTGTGTGGTAGAGCACATGTACATGTATTATGTAATTGAGTTAAGGTATAGGTTATGTAAGCCTGTGTATGGATCAGTCTGATTATAATAGCATGTAAATAATTAAGGCCCTACTTCAAAGGGTGTGTGGTATATAGTAATCACTGGGTCCATCTATCCATAATTCTATCATCAACTCTTTAACTTGAAATTACTTCAAAAAATAAGAAGAGGTGCACTCCATTAAAGAAAAAGTCCTACAGATTTAAGGATCATTGGAAGAAAATTCAATGTCAAAAGGTCAAGATAATTGTTGTCTTTGAAAACTCTATATTACACCATAACTAGCATTCTTTCAAACCAGACTTCTTACCTCAAACCAGACAAGTGAAAGGAAAGTTGAAATCAAGACATAAAAGGAAGACAAAAGCATGGCATAAAAGGAAGACAAAAATCAAGGTATAAAAGGGAGACAACTATAGGGTCACTCTATCAAAGGTCATAATCAAGGTATAAAAGGAAGACAAATATAGGGTCACTTTATCAAAGGTCAAAATCAAGGAATTAAATGAAAACAAAATCAAGGCATAAAAGGAAGACAAAATAAAGGTATAAAAGGAAGACAACTATAGGGTCACTCTATCAAAGGTCAAAATCAAGGCATAAAAGGAAGACAAAAATCAAGGCATAAAAGGAAGACAACTATAGGGTCAAAGGTCAAAATCATGGCATAGAAGGAAAACAAAATCAAGGCATAAAAGGAAGACAACTATAGGGTCAAAGGTCAAAATCATGGCATAAAAGAAAGATAAAATCAAGGCATAAAAGGGAAACAACTATAGGGTCACTCTATCAAAGGTCAAAATCATGGCATAAAAGGAAGACAAAATCAAGGCATAAAAGGAAGACAGATACAGCCTACTCCACTTATATTCAAATTGCTTATTTTAAAATATCACTTATTATAGGTCAAAATGAAGGCATAAAAGGAAGACAACTTTAGATTTTGGGTCACTCTATCAAAGATCAAAAAGCATAAAAGAAATATTTGATATATCTGTGGATTATTTTATGAGACAATACAACTTATATGTAATATTTATTACCAGTTAGAATTAGGGTTAATCAAATGAAAAGGTCAAAATTTCAAAGATCATTAACATTAAGATACTGTAAAGCACTAGTTGTCTTTGTCAGTTTTTCAGTATTAATCTAATATCAATGAACTGTTGTTCACATTTATATGACCTTTACGGATAGCATGCAAGTCTGCGTGGGTTTTTGTTGGTTAATTAATGGTACAATGTACCATGTTCAATTTTCCAGTTTAACTGATTCTAAGCATTTAATCTCATTTTCATGCAAGATTGCAGTGATCATAACTTTACCAACGTCATACTGTGTCTAGACATTAAAATATCAATTTATTGGATGATTGATTATGTTTTAATGTGTATTACTGCAGAAGCTAGATCTTTTAATTTTGAGTAAAACATGAAGTGATGTCAAAGCATCTTTTATTTTTAAATCTTTTTGAGTACAATTTAATTTCTAGATTCCATTCAGTATATATATCTGTGATTGATAACTTTAATTGTTTTATATTACAGTACCATCCTGGCAGGTTTCCAGCTAGATATGACCTAGAGTGACCTTTGTATGACTTCTAGGAGAATTCTTTATGGAGCATACTTTCAGTGATTCTTACTTTTAAAGAAAGTTTATTTTGTTGTTTTATTTTAATAATCACAAGTATTGGATTGAAATACTCATATATTTATTTTGCAGAAAATGTAGTTTGAAAATCCCCCCCCCCCCCCAAGAAAAATGATAGTAGAAATTGTTTATACCGGTATGTGTATTTGTAACCTCTTTGTGCAGTTTTATAATCTTTGTTTTTATTGCTTTGTTTTTAAGCTAAATCTGAATGCTATGTTTCTCGGTCTATGATTATATGATGTGTCTCTCCTATTGAGATGTCTCGGACTTTTCTACTGTTCACTTTTTTGTCCAATTTTTGCCGCCATTCTGAGGAGAAATTATGTCTACTGTCCAGCAATTAGTTACACTTCTCCAAAATTTGATACTTCTAGTTTTTGCTGTCTTCTTTAAAATGGTTTGTTGTAATGAATCACTAAAAGTGATTGTTAGGAAAGAGTAGTACATGTACCTGTATTATGGTAGTGTTTACATCTGAGAAAAAGTACAGTTATTTAAAGGTAGTTGTAGATTTGTAGCATTGGGTAAAAACATACCATAGTCCCTTTGTCGCACATTTTGTAATATGTCCTTTTCATATCCATTGCTATTTGTATGTAAATACATATTATTGTTTTATTTTTGAAAAAATTATTCTATGTCAATGATGATATTGTTGACATATCGTCAATTTCCAACTATATTGATTCCTGTAATGGGAATTTTTTGCTCTTTGTTACTTTTGCCTAAATGTATTATTTTGCCCATATATTTTTTTCTTTCATTATTTTGTTTTGTTTTGTTTTTTTTTTTTTTTTGGTACCCAGCTTTGTCTTTTATTGCTCATTTATAAATGGTTGTCAGACTAAAGCTTGAAGCATTATATTTGGACAGTAATTTTTTTTTATAATTGTGCTGTAATGATACAGTTATCTGTGTAGTTTGCTTACAATATGTTACTAATACTATGAAATATGTACATACCTATATAAGATTTTACTAATACATATATTGCTTTATTGAAATGTTACAGTAGGACTTAGCTAACTTTAATTTTTCAGCAAATGAAAGTAGGTGAATGAAAAAAAATCTTGTCCCTTAAAACACCACCAGAAATCAGGAAACCCTCTTATCATACAAGTTATTAATTGTTCTGGTTTTGGTAGACTTGGATTTAGAAATAATTTTATAACCAGTAACTTGTCTGGCTATTTCATATTTGAAAGTGGAAAGAATATATAATTATTATAAATTGAAAATAGACAATAAATAATGTGTACTCATTTGAAGTTGAAAGTTACATTCTCACACATACATGTATGTGTATATTGTCACTTTTCAAAAGAAAGTTGTTTAATTTTTAGGAATCTACTTAATGCTTAAAATATCATCATGGACATTCTGTTTCATATTTTAGTGCAATGCAGGAGGCATAATAATATTGGAAGAGTTATCATCAAATGGGTAATAGCAAACATGGTCTGTTGAAATACTCGTGTATAAAAAGCAAAACTTTCTAATGTTCATTTCTAAACATTGTTGGCAGGTATAGGAAAAATACTGTACTCTTGGTTTGATCTAAGGTATGCTATATTGAATATGTTTGTCCTTTTTCTTTTGTTTGAAATTCTATCATATGGGAAAAAAAATAGTGTATCTGAAATTCTGGATGCTTTACTGGGGTAAGATGTACCAGTTACAACTTAGAGTAAAACAGAGTTGTTCTGTAAAAAGTTCTGATGGAGTTGTACTGGGATACAATACAGTACTCTTAGCCAGTCACTGATTCTGTATATCTAGTCATTAGTCACCATAACGAATCATTCATCATGTATCTTTATAAGTTAATCAAAAGAGGCTTAGTTTTGATTGTTATTAATATCTTAACACACTAATTCCCTTTAGGTACCTGCCTTCCTCATTGTTTATATCACAAAATACAATTAATATTTTTAATTTGTATTTTTTGATGTGTTATGTTTGAATCTGTAAGCAGATGGCATGTGATTTAAATTGTTGGTAAAAAAGACAATCGGCAGATGAAGATTGTTGATGTAGAATAATGTTTATTTTAAGGAACACTATTTTTATATTGAATTTTGTTATAATACAGTGTACAACTCTGAAGGAAACCTTTGATTACAATTTTATACATTTTTGTGATTCTGAATTATTGTATGTGTCATATCTGATCTGCAGATTATGATTGTAGTTCAGTATTCCTTTATCATGAAAAGTTACTCCTTGAGTTTTAATGCACAGTTTGGAAAGTTTAGGAGAGTTTTTAAGTAAACTGCAGTGGAAGAACTTTTCCCTAGGAGTGATTTCAACAAAGATAGCCCTATTGCTGTGTTTTAAAGAAATTTCAACCTCAATGGTTTTAAGATGTAGTTCAGATCTTTTTCTTACTATTAGTCTGTCAATTCATGTTTTATGACTGTGTAAATTAAAACTATGAGCTCCACATCTTGACTCGACCTTTTCATGTATCATTATTAGCCATAGTAATGTCTTCCACTAATTGTTTTGAATGATAAGGTTGTGACTTTTGTATTTTGCAGTGTTTTTAATAGATTTTTTTTTGGTCATAAATTCACAACACCTGGTGAGAATACATCTGCTACATGTATATATAGTTAACATAAATGAAAATTTTCTAATCATTGATTGTGTACTACATGAAATAAACAATATTGAACCACAACCGTCCAGCTTTGTTTCTTGTCTTTATACTAATTCAATAAAGCCACAATTAAGTTTTGTGTTAAGTAGGTCGGGTCCTGTGAAAAAACTGATTTCAGTTCTGAAGACTAAACACCTACTGTTTGCCCAGTCCCTCCAACTGATGATCTTTTATTTATAGTATAGACAATTTTTATAATTTAAAACCTGACCTTGGCAATAATTCTAAGCCAGTTAGTATCTGAAATATTTAAATTTAGCCATGAAGTTGCAAAAGTAGGTAACGGTGACCTACTTTTTGGTTGATACACTCTGAGGACTCAAGATGCATCATCTGCCAAAGTTTGATGATTCTAAGCCAATCAGTATCTGAATTAGAAATCAAAATTCCAAAAGTAGGTCATGGTGACCTACTCTTTGGTTGACATACTTGGAGGACCCAAGATGCATCAACTGACAAAGTCTGATAATTCCAAGCCAATTACTATCTGAAAATAGTCATCAAATTCCAAAAGTAGGTCACGATGACCTACTTGTTGGTTGACACACTCCGAGGACCCAAAATGCATCAACTGACAAAGTTTGATGATTCTTACCAATTAGTATCTAAATTAGCCATGAAACTGCAAAAGAAATGGTGACCTACTTCTTGGTTGACACACTTAGAACCCAAGATGCATCAACTGACAAAGTTTGATGATTCTAAGCCAATTAGTATCTGTAGTATTGAAATATAGCTATGAAATTCCAAAAGTAGGTCAAAGTGACACACTTTTTGGTTGCCACACTCTGGGGACCCAAGATGTACCTATTGACAAAGTTTAAAATTCCAAGCCTATTGGTATCTGAAATATTTAAATTAAGCCCTGATATTGCAAAAGTAGGTCAAGGTGACCTACTCCTTGGTTGATACACTCTGAGGACTCAAGATGCATCAGCTAATAAAGTTTGATGATCCTATGAGTCTAAAATATGCCTCTAAAACAATTTGAAAATGAATACCTGTAAAATTCAAAAAGTAGGTAACTGTGACATACTTTCTAATAAATATGTTTTAAGGCACCAAGGTGCGTCAGCTTACAAGGTTTGAGGATTCTAAACCGCTTAGTATCTGAAATAATGACCTTTAACATTTAGAAAATGATTAGCCATAAAAAATCAGAAAGTAGGTCACAGTGGTCTACTTTTTGGTTGACATACTTCAAGGTCCCATGATGCATAAACTGACAAGTTTTGATGATCATAGACTTCAAAGTATCCAAGTTATGCATCAAAATTAAACTGAAAATGAATACCAGCAAAATTCAAGAGGCCCATGGACCACAGCGCTCACCCTTTGTAGTACTCCTTGTGGCCCCACACTACCGCAGGGGGCCATGATTTCTAAACTACACAGGAAGCTTCCAAGTAATTTTCAATTTTTCTAGCCCAGTGGTTCTTGAGAAGATTTTAAAATATTTTTCCTGTATGTTTCAATGCAAAATTTTCATTCCCTATTGTGGCCCCACCCTACCCCAGGGTATATGATTTGAATAATTAAGAATCTACACTACCCCAGGATGCTTTCACTTATGTTTCAGCTTTTCTGGCCCAATGGTTCTTGAGAAGATTTTTTTAATGACCCCACCCTATTTTTGTCTTTTCTTGATTATCTCCCCTTGGAAGGGGGCTTGGCCCTTCATTTTAACAATTTAAATTCCCCTTTACCCAAGGATGCTCTTTGTACCAACTTTGGTTGAAATTGGCCCAGTAGTTCTTGAGAAGAAGATGAAAATGTGAAAAGTTTACAGACAGACCAACAGACGACAGACAGACAACGGGTGATCAAAAAAGCTCACTTGAGCTTTCAGCTCAGATGAGTTTGAAAAATAGGTCATCATGATCTACTTGTGAGTTAACAGGATATGAGGTCCAAAGATGCATCAACTGACAAGATTTGATGATCCTAGGCCTTATAGTGGGCAAAATATCAAAGTTTTAACAAAACATAATTTTTGGTCAACTTAGAAGACCACGTCCTTTGCCCCAGGGAGATGCCTTGATCAATTTTTAATCTACAACATATCTTCATCCTTGTAGATAAGTTTGGTGATAATCTGCCCAGTGGTTCTTGAGAAGAAGATTTTTTAGCAACCACTACTTTTGTTTTTATTTCCCTAATTATCTCCCCTTGTTTAAGGGACGCATCCCTAGTTTTAGTACAAATGAAAGCCCTTGGGCCAACTCAGCTATGTTAAGGAAGGAAATGAAAAATGCGATCTAAGTACCTTCTTAAAATGTATTATTTTTAAAAATCTTTATAACAAAGTAACTGTTTACATGTAGGAAAGGTAATATAGATATCCATAATGGATAGGTTTGGGTCCGCACACAGTACCATTTATATCGCATGTATCAGCTGTGTGTCACGTGACTGGTATAAAAATAGAATTGATGAGCTGAATGTAGAAAATGACACTAGTGCAAGGGCATACGCATGTTTTTGGAGAGAAAAATTGTTACACATTAAAAAGATTTACATCGGCTACCCGAAAAGTGCTGGGAGCTAGTTTGAACTGCTTCGGAAATGCTCGTAATTTTGCTGAAAATGCGTACAATAGCTAAAAATTCCTACTTTGCTTCAATTCTGTCATGAATAAATGTAATGCTACACCGACCATAATCAGCTCCCAGCACTTTTTAAAATATACATGATATATGCAATTGATATTCCGTATTTCAGCACAAACAGTGTAGTCTATGCCCTTGCACTTTTGAGGTTAATTAGGAATATAATTATCGTGTTAGCAATATTCTTGACATTCTCTGTCGTTGTGCGGCTCCATAGCACCTAGATAAAATAATAATCTACATATGTGTTTCAAATAAATTATTGACTTTCAATTTTATTGATTAGATTTAAACATTTGCGATGGTTTTATATTTATTTAAGCATTTTTGTAATTATTAAACCAATGGATCCACTCCTCTGGATCACTTGTACTGCGTCAAGTCAAGGTTAGTGACATCATTTCTGACATAAGATTTGCTTCTAATTACTCGGCAGTATTGTTATCAAATGTTCTGATTTTACATTCTTTTATAAATAATTGATAAAATAAATGAATGCAAGTTTTCATTTATGCATTATGTAGTTAAATAGATTTTTGTTGCTTGTGAAATTTTTAATGACGTCACAATGAAACTTCCCATACAGTGCATCACAAATGTGAACTCAAGCCTTCCTTAACGTAGCTGAGAAGAATACTCTGTGACAAATTTGAAAAAAAAAATGACCAAGGGGTTCTTGAGATATGGCCCATTTTCCAAAAAGTTTACACACACCACACATATGGCCATAGCATTAGCTCTCTGAGCTTTTGGCTCAGAAGAGCTAATGAATACCTGCAAAATTTAACAAGAGGCCCATGGGCCACATCGCTCACCTGAGCACATTGGCTAGGCAAAAGCACAAATCAGTTCAGTATTGTAAAAAACTTGAATCTACACTACCTGAGGATGCTTCCATATCAATATGACTAAACATAGCTTTTCTGTTCTTGAGAAGAAATATTTTTTCTATATGTTCTTATGTAAAACTTTCGATCCCCCTATTGGGTCCCACCATACCCCCAGGGGTCATCATTTGAACAAAATTGAATTTACACTACCTGAGGATGCTTCTATATCAAAATGACTAATCATGGCTTTGCAGTTCTTCATCAGAAGAAATCTTCCTATATATTTCTATTTCAGACTTTGATCCTCCATTGTGGCCCCACCCTACCCCAGGGGGTTAACATTTGAACAAACTTGAATCTACACTACCTGAGGATACTTCAACATAAATATGATCAATCAGGGCTTTGCTGTTCCTGAGAAGAGGATTTTTAAAGATTTTTCCTATATATTTTTATGTAAAACTTTGATCCTCCATTGTGCCCCCTACCCCCAGGGGGTCATGATTGGAATAAATTTGAATCTACACTACCTGAGAATGCTTCCATATAAATATGACCAATTAGGGCTTTGCTGTTATTGAGAAGAGGATTTTTAAAGATTTTTCCTATATATTTTTATGTAAAACTTTGATCCTCCATTGTGCCCCCCCCCCTACCCCAAGGGGGTCATGATTGGAATAAATTTGAATCTACACTACCTGAGGATGCTTCCATATAAATATGACCAATTAGGGCTTTGCTGTTATTGAGAAGAAGATTTTTAAAGATTTTTCCTATATATTTCTATGTAAAACTTTGATCCTCCATTGTGGCCCCGCCCTACCCCCGGGAGTCATGATTTGAACAAAATTGAATCTACACTACCTAAGGATGCTTCCAAATAAATATGACTCATCACGGCTTTGCTGTTCTTGAAAAGAAGATTTTAAAGGTTTTTCCCATGTATTTCTATGTAAAACTTTGATCCTCCACTGTGGCCCCGCCCTACCCCCAGGGTCATGATTTGGACAAACTTGAATCTACACTACCTGAGGATGCTTCAATATAAATATGACCAATTAGGGCTTTGCTGTTATTGAGAAGAAGATTTTTAAAGATTTTTCCTATAGATTTCTATGTAAAACTTTGATCCTCCATTGTGGCCCCGCCCTACCCCCGGCGGTCATGATTTGAACAAACTTGAATCTACACTACCTGAGGATGCTTCCATATAAATATGACTCATCATGGCTTTGCTGTTCTTGAGAAGAAGATTTTTAAAGGTTTTTCCAATATATTTCTATGTAAAACTTTGAATCCTCCACTGTGGCCCCGCCCTACCCCCAGGGGTCATGATTTGAACAAACTTGAATCTACACTACCTGAGGATGCTTCCACATGAGTTTCATCTTCCCTGGCTTTGTGGTTCTTGAGAAGAAGATTTTTAAAAGATGCTATTAATTTTTCACTAATTCTTTATTATCTCCCCTTGAAAGAGGGTATGGCCCTTCATTTGAACAAACTTGAATCCCCTTCACCCAAGGATACTTTGTGGCATTTTGGTTGAAATTGGCCCAGTGGTTCTTGAGAAGAAGTCGAAAATGTGAAAAGTTTACAGACAGACGGACGGACGGACAGACAGACAGACTATAGACAAAATGTGATCAGAAAAGCTCACTTGAGCCTTCGGCTCAGGTGAGCTAAAAAGTAGGTCACTGTGACCTACTTTTTGATATGTTCCAAAGCCCCAGGATGCATCAACTTACAAGGTTTGATGATTCTAAACCTCTCAGTTTCCAAAATAATGACCTTGAATGTTTTAAAATAATTAGCCCTAAAATTCTTGTCATGTTATTTGTTTTTTTTTTTGATGGAGAAACTATGTATTGTGACATCATGTTATTTACCCCAGCTCAAGCTGGGTGTGTGGAAATTTACACCTGGCTTGCTAACCAATCAAATCTTGAGTTACATGCTAAATAGGAAATAAAATGTCCTATTTAGGTTTGCAAGGCACATAAAATATCAAAATCGTGAAAAAAGCCTGGAAGGCGTCAGATATGTCAGACTACAAGGGCAAGTGGATAAGAATAGAGAGAATAATAACAACAAAGCATATTTCTCAACATTGAACACACTTGTGAAAGACCAAAGAATTGAATCATTTCCAGAATTTAATGACATTTCAGTTATTCATGAAAATAACATTAGGTGGCGAAAAAATACACTCTTTATTTTCTATTTCATGTTGCAAAACATAGGTAATCAGAGATTACAGAGCTCACCTCGACAAATGTTGTCTTTAAGTAAGGCAAAGTCCCAATCTAAACTAATAATCTAGTAGTGTGCATCCCTAGATGCAACATTTATGCAATTTTGGTCCGATAGGGCTTCCAGTTACTTGGGAATGGACTTAATATCTAACTTTAGACTAGTTACTCAGAAAATGTTGTCAAATTCAGCATCTGAAGCAAGTTTGAGAGTATTCATCCCTTGATACATCATCCTTGCACGTTTGGTTCAGATAGGCCCGATAGTTTCTTGGTAATGGACCTGCTCCAAAAATTTCTGCCTGGTCACTCATATGGAAAATGTAGGTCAAATCCAGCATCTGAAGCAACTCTGGTAGTGTGCATCCCTTGATGCATCTTCTATGCAAGTTTGGTTCAGGTAGGCCTTAAAGTTTTTTGGACATGGACCTGCTCCAAAAACTTTGAAAACTTTTATCCTGCTCCAAAACATAAACCTGGTCATTTTTTAGCTGAAATTGCAGCATTTGAAACCTTGACTGGTACAGTAAAACTCAGTTATAGCGAAGTTCTAGGGACCTGTGAATTTACTTTGTTATATCCACAATTCATTATATCAATATAATGAATTTGTTAAAGTACTTAATGAATTTGCAATATGCATCTTTTCCTTCAAGTATGACTACCAAATATGTTCTGGGAGGTATTAAATACAAAAATTTTACTTGGGGTACTAAATATTTCTGAGGAATAAAATTTTAAATCTAAATACTTATAAAAAGTAATGTCAGTTTAATATTTTGAAGTTTAAGATATTGAAAATTTGTTATAAAAGATGTAATTTTCATTATTTTTAACCTCTACGGGACAGAAAATCAGTTTGTTATATCCTTAAATTCTTTATATCAGAGTTCGCTATAACCATAAAATTTTCCTAGGATTTATTAAGAATTTCGCTGGGAATTCAAAAATACTCTATATCTGTGAATTCGCTATATCCGTGTTCGTACTAATCGAGTTTTACTGTATAATAAAACATACTAGAAGCATCTTTCACGCATCCCAGATTAATATAGGGCATAGAAGTACTTGAAATCTGCTCCAAAAACTTTAACCTGGGGCACTGATGCTAAGGGTATTACAAAAGCTCCCCTAAAGTTTCTTGAGGTGAGCTAAAAAGGCAAATTCTTGAATATACCTTTCGGTGTATTGTGAAAACATTAAGAAAAAAATCTTAATGCAGTTAATTCATATTATGTGTAATTAAATAGAAAAAAATAAATAAAGCAAAAAATATATCAAAGCATTTAAATACATGTATATTCATTTTTCCAAGATGTTGAATTAAACAGTGTGCATTTTGGACACAACAAATTTTAAGGCCACAGAAAATAATTTTTTTGATTCCCAACCTAAGGTGTTTGGATATTCTTTTTATACAATGCTCAAAATTTTAACATACTTTTTGTTATTTTAATTAAATTTTTATTCCAGGAGATGAGAATCTAAAGATTAATTCTACCTGACCTAAAGTACAGTGTATTTAATTTAACTGGTTCCTATGAGCTTGTTTTCATAGGCTATGGTTTAATCAGTACTGCTGCCCTCATAAAAGAAGTTAATCTAAGTCTACAACTACAGCAAAATTATAGGTCTGCTTTGTAGTCTCATTTATAGAGGAGTAACTTCACATATACTTCATGTATGACAAATAAGTTAGAATTCCAGGTCAGGGAGTATTGGCTTTATAGTCAATTGATTCGGATTTCTGTAATTTGGAACTTCCAGCTTGATTGGCCTGTTCATCCTTCATGACTTCATCAGCCATACAATGTTCATATTGCATTTCCAGACTGTCAGACTGCTGAACGGCCGGGCTGTCTGGTTCACTGTCTGTATTCTCGAGAGTTCCGTCAAACACTCGCGGTATGTACTGAAACAGGTTCATTGATTTCTTTGTCTTTTTTGACTCGGCAATCTTCTTACCATATTGTTCAATCAGTGTCATGATATTTCCTAAAAGACATATTTTGCCATGAAAACAGCATACTTTACTAAAGAAAAAGAGATAGGTCAGAGTCAATATTGATTTTTTATTAATTTTCACTTTAAGCAGTAATAACATTTACATTCATTCCAAACTTACTTCTGAACAACAAAAAAAAAAAGAAGAAAAAACAACAACAAAAAACAAAAAAAGAAGAAAAGCTGTCCTAACTGAACCTTTATCTCAACTAAAGCACATTAAACAGGGCAGGTAAAACTGCATGTCAGAATTTAATAATATTTTCAATAAATTTACATACCACATCAAACAACCTAATCTACATGTATTTCAAGTGTTATTTCTGTCATTAATACTTCATTGTCTCTTAACATTTTCCTGAGGAAATATGACAGGTACCCCTTGTTTAAAATGAACTATAGTCTTATTTTATGCTCAGTGTGTACACCTCAATATGATACATTTTTCTCAAAGTTCTGAAAACATTTTTCGTTTAGTGTTTAGAGCTTCCTTGAAGTTATGCCACTCCCTCTATTTATGAACAAACTGTGTCCAGTACAAGTTTCTACTATCCCATATCACAAGGGTTTCTGCCTGTAGAAAAACTACACTTCTAAGCCTGTCACTTTATTCAAATGACAATTACCCTTAAGGTCATAATCAAATTTGTGTCAAAATTAAGCTCCTACTACATGTATCGCTGCATTACAAATTAAATGATACAGAGAAGAATTTTACACTTTTCAACCCCCCAACCTTCACCTTCGATACCTTGCTTCCTAGTTACCACATGGTACAAATTCATGAGCAACCTTCAAGTTAAGAATAATCTCAGCTTCTACTGTATCAGCACTCTACTGACAAGTTATATGACTTGCTCTGGTGTTTCACACTTTTTTTTATTCCTGTGATGTTGACCTTGTCCATGTGACCTTGGTTTCCATTCAGGACAAATCTTCACATGATAAACATTCTTTATGACTTTTGGAGTCTCTGCAATTTTTTTAATTTTCTAAGTTATTTCACAGACAAGAATTTTAAGCTCCTGATCCATGTTACATTGACCTTGTCCTAATGTCCTTGAGTCAGTGTTACGATAAACTTCAAGGTCATTAACAACCTGTGTCAAGAATGAACTAGTGATGTTTCTCCATTAAAAAATAAGCTGGGACAGACATAAAGAGAGAAGAACAAACGGACAAAGTGATTCCTATATATCACTTGTTTGCTGAAGGAGCAGACAATCATTACTCATTCTAAGATATCTAATAAAAGCTAAAATTAATTGATAAATTATAGTTACCAATTGCTAGAATGTTGGTTTTTGTGAGGTATGTATGTATATCATGCAATTCATCTCGTAACAACTTGTCATCAAATGTGTAATAGCAAACTTCTCTCTTGGCCATGGTAGCAGCCATCAATTGAATCAGGGCTACAGAAGGCAAATGAAAATATCACTGTGGTCAAATTTATCATAAAACCAGATATACTAAACCAGAAAATATCATTGTGGTCAAATTTATCGTTCATGAAACTGGATGTATTAAACCACAAAATATCATTGGGATCAAATTTATCTTTCATGAAACCAGATATACCAAATCAGAAAATACCAGTGTCATGATATTTATCATTCACAGCACTAGATATACTAAACCAGAAGATATCTATCATTAAAAGTGCTGGATATACTAAACCAGAGATTTCCAAAAAAATTTAAAAATTCTCGACCTTTTAGTCTTTTGTCTCCCCCAAAAGCTCCACACCCCCAGTTTCCTGTGCAGACTGCAGGAAGGGGGACACGGAGACTGGGTGCATGAAATCCACTATATGCCTACAAGTATACACACAAGACATAACAGTACTGTAGTGAAAAGATATGTAGCTGATCATTAGAATTGATTTTAATTATCAATACTGACTTTATTGAGTTCTCTGATGACTGAGCCAATCTTGAATTGGTGACTGTGTTCTCTGATTATCAAGGCATCTATAGCTACAACATCAGTGCACAATCGTCCCCAGTCATCCCTAAAATATCAGTGTGATATAAATATAAATACATTTGTTAATTTTATTTAATAATGTTTAAAATTATTAGAAAATCACAGACAATTAAATGAGTTTTAGACGGAATACGTTAACATGTCTACGAGATGTTAGAACAACAGAATTTAAATCTTCAATACCTAACTGTTTTATCCACAAAATCACTGGACCATTTAAATTTTCCCGCATATCCTGTATAGTTACTGAATCTTTCACAACCTGCAATTCAATGATGAAGAACATTCAAGGATGAAAATGCAAATTGCAAATTAAAAATGAATTTTTGGATAATTTTTTTTTAAATAAATTATTTATTCAATGAAAATTATTTGGGCTATGCTGCCTATTAAAAATTCACTTGTATCAGTGTGCAGGCATTTCTATCATGAACATGTTTTTCTCTTATTTTCTTTTATCACTCCATAATCCATATCTCTTACCCATCATCAGAATACTTTCATTTTTTTCCAGACATTCTGTAAAAAGTCGTGTTACGATCATCTCTGGACATATAAGGAATCGGATCTCCTCCTGTACCGCCCCCATACCTAGCACTCCTCCCCCCATGTACTTGTTGGCAAAGTCAACCTAAAGAAAAAGAATCAGATCAAATAAATGTGAAAAACTGGCAAATACATCTTGAAATTGATTAAGCCAAGAAAAAAACTTCACGTTTTATATCTGCTTCTTCTGCAAATAATCTTGCCAATTAATCATACAATGAATTTATTTTGACAGGCTATAACTCTGTAAAAATTGGACAGAATTATAATATTAAATTTGAAATCAATATGCCAAGTTCCAAGTGGTTAAGTTCTTCTATAATCACAAAGCATGATCTAGTAAAGCCTAAAAAAATTACTTCTCCAAAAGAAGTTGTAAGGCCCCTATGTCTGTAAATATTGGGCAAAAATCCTTGAGACCTAATCTTGCTCTGTATTTCATCATAATTAAATCAAATGATACATTTCAAGTTCCTACCTGAAAGCATGACAAACATCCAGTAAAACTTAATTGTTCAAAGATGGAACAGCCAGATAGATGCAGAGAGAGCCATACCATGATCCATCTGACTAAAAACACTGCCATCCAAATAATGGCACAAGTTTAACAATGAAGTTAAAGTATCAAAATGTCATGGATATGTGAAATACTGTGTAACTAGAAACCTGAGTATGCACATGAACTCAGCTTCACATCCAGAAATGTTCTAAATTATTTTGATTTACTTAAGAGGAGAGGTCAACATAACTGTTATAATGAGGGGATTTTGTCTGTCTGGGAGGACTTGCGTTATTTGTACTGGGGGCAGGGGGTGAGTCTTTGGTTGCTGTCTTATTAGTTTTGAAATCATTAATTACATGTCTTCTCCACACACCTGTAAGAGTCCATCTCCATCGTCTTCAATGGTTCCCTCTGCTGACACATGGATGTCAGTTAGTTTTGTCTCCAGACTTTGCCATTTTGGGAAATGTTCCACACACTGTCGCTTGAAGGTCACTACTCCTGTCGGCACTAAGGAAAACAAAGAAATAAAAATGGACAGCTGCTTAATATACAGTAAAACAGGCTTATAGTACTAATAATGAAATGAAGCTTACAGCAAAGTTATTTTTATTCCCTTGCCTCTAAAATATATTGTGATCTTAACAGATATAAAGAATTACGTTTATAACGAAGCAAATTCGTCCATCCTTGGCACTTCATTATAAGCGTGTTTTACTGTATATACATGTACAAGTAAATGTAATTGTATGTCATTGTATTAACTATGAGAAGAAAATCAACATCTGAATGCTAGGTCTACTCACTCTTTGTGGTTACTCTTTTAAAGTAATGGAAGATACACTTCAACTTCTCTAATTTTAATGTTTGGTAATGAGGATTTCCATCGTACAAACTGAAAGAAAAGAACATTTTAATTAAGTGAAGCTGAACAAACAGGTCTATATTCAAAATACAATGTATATGTACATTCAAAATATGGTTGATATACTGTTAAAGTGTTTAAAGGATTTACAGATGTATAATATTGCTTATTTTTTTTCCTTTATCACTTTTAATTCAGGTGTCTGAATTCATGCAATTATCAAGTATGTCTTCAACATATATATGCATGTAATATCTTTAAAACATATCAGTTATTCAGTTTTTTGAATCCTCAGATTTATTGAGAGCAGGAATAAAGAAATAAATAAAATGATCATCAAAAAAAATTATTTTCTCCTATACAGTACAGTATGTATTATTAATTCTTACAATCTGACAATTCTATTTTAAGATGAACTTTGTTCTACAGCTGCAAAACATTATCCTATATTTTATCATATCATATCATATCAGAATTACTTCTTTCCATCATAATAGTATTTCACATACTAATCTGGAAATAAAGCATTTGAAGACAAAATGGAAAAGCAAGCATCCCTAGACACTTCAACCTGCAAAATTGGTCTCGGCAGGTTCACAGTTACTTATCAATGCTCCAAAGAATAAACTTGCTTACTCATCCAGAAAATATAGTGGAAGCACGTGATTCATGAAAGTACTAAATATCCAAATATACATCATTTTCCAAGTTTGTTCCAAGTTGGACCTATAGTTAATCGGAAATGGACTTGCTTTAACCTTGCAACTCTTTTGGAAAATTCACATCTGATGGAGCATTAGAATCATGAATACCAGCAAGTTTCCCTAGATGAATTGAAAGTTTAGTCTGGATAGAGCTTGAAGTTACTTGGTACACAGACCTACTCGAAAACTTAAACCTGGGAATCAAATACCATTGCCAGGGGAATTGCATATACAGTTCACCTTCATGTCAAGGTGAGTTGAAAATCTCTCTATTTCATACAATACATATACTAAATAAGTACATAAACAGTATATTTTAAACTCTATCAGCTTTAAATAGACTTGTAACTGACAAACCTGCTAAAATTGATTGTTGGATAATTGAAATATTCAGATGATTTTCCACGTGCATTTCTTCTTGGAAAAGTGCAGAAAAATGCATTGGCCAGCAGACATGCAATTTGTTCCTGAGACATGGTAATGCTTTTATTTTTCTCTCTCTTTAGTAAAGGAATGGGCTGAAAAATTCACGTTTATTTACTCATCAAATGATTCAATAAAAAAAAAGCCCCCCCCCCCCCACCTTAAAAACAACAAACCATAGGCTTATGGGCCACAATACCCACCTGTGTCAATTCTGACAATTATCACTGGTTGGGTCTAACAAAATATAATTTATATTTGAGCACCTTACTGTACTTGTAGTCTTTAACTACAGTTAAGCCTAAATAACTGAACACTTGTGTTCCAAAGTGCATCGTCCAGATTAAAGAAGCATTCAGATTTCTGAAACATACATTTTATAATTATACTTTATATATGAAAACCTAAATTCTGTTCCAAACAAATGTTTTCCAGAAATAATGCATCTGAATTATTGGCTCAGGATTACCGAGTCTTGAGTTTAATTCAAAATTTTTAATATACAGGTACATATACATGTATTTAAGCTTTCAAAAAAAGATCATAACCTTTATGTGTTTAAATTACTATGTGGAGCTTTGAGCTGCTTTTCTAATTCAAAAATTATACTTTTGGGGTCATCACTTGAACTTACTTCAACTCGCTATCTATACGCCACAAAGATGGTTGCTTGCTTTTAAGCTGATTTCAAAAAAATATTTTAGAAATTATCTAACAATTTCACTCTTTTAATTCTACAGAGGCAAGGGTCAATAAACTACTATTAACTTAATTTTTGATCTCATGAAACCTGAAATTTTGACCTTTTCAGAATAACCACCATTTTAGTTAAAAATAAAATACAGATATACATTTCCAATACATGTGTTTTTCTTCATCTGACAAAATGCTGTAAATGTATTATATTTAGCGTGTGTGATATTTGGCGGATATTGATTTTTGAACAAGTTAGCGCAGATTTGATTTAGCGCATTTCTTAATGTTCTTTTTATGTATATCTGTACAAGACATTTGGCGATGTATTTGAATTAGCCGCAAGCTTCTTTCTGCCAAAAGTGCTAAAAAGAAAACACAGTCAAATGTAATGCGTTTACAGTACTTGGCATATTATTTTTATTTTAACTTAATTTTTATTTACTTATTAGTTTATTTTACTGATTTTTTTTTTATACTGATAATGATCTACATGCATTATTTGCATCACATTTCATAGAGAACCTAATTCATGATATTGATATGTACGTCTAAGACTGATTTAGGGGTGCCACTACTGACTTACAATGATATTGATACGTACGTCTAAGACTGATTTAGGGGTGCCACTACTGACTTACAATGATATTGATACGTACATCTAAGACTGATTTAGGGGTGCCACTACTGACTTACAATGATATTGATACGTACGTCTAAGACTGATTTAGGGGTGCCACTACTGACTTACAATGATATTGATACGTACGTCTAAGACTGATTTAGGGGTGCCACTACTGACTTACAATGATATTGATACGTACGTCTAAGACTGATTTAGGGGTGCCACTACTGACTTACAATGATATTGATACGTACATCTAAGACTGATTTAGGGGTGCCACTACTGACTTACAATGATATTGATACGTACATCTAAGACTGATTTAGGGGTGCCACTACTGACTTACAATGATATTGATATGTACATCTAAGACTGATTTAGGGGTGCCACTACTAACTTACAATGATATTGATACGTACGTCTAAGACTGATTTAGGGGTGCCACTACTGACTTACAATGATATTGATACGTACGTCTAAGACTGATTTAGGGGTGCCACTACTGACTTACAATGATATTGATATGTACGTCTAAGACTGATTTAGGGGTGCCACTACTGACTTACAATAATATTTCATCAAGATCTGACTCCTATTTTATGAGGTATATAGACATTGTATTGTCTCCTTTAAGAACATACAATGAAGCTGAAAATTAACATAATGAGAAAAGTGAATTGTGCTACACACCTGAGTGATCAGATTTGGTAAGTTAAGAGCCAGCTTTATCATTTTTGGTAAGATGTCTTCAAAAAAGTGTCTCCTTTCTGAATTTTCCATTTCCTGCAATTTTTAAACAGATCCTGTTTATGATGAAATCCATGTCTCTTTAGAGTCTAACATCAAATTAAAATATATCTAAATCATAAACTTCTTTACCAAATAAATTTACAATGTAAAGAAATCTAATTTAATGAAATCAATCAAAATTTCCATACATCTAAACAGAAGTGATACAGCATTTGGAAGTTCTTCTCAGACAGCCTCGTGTTGTATTTACAGATAGATTCCTAAAAGGAAAATAATTCTATTATAATACATGTAAACAGTATGGAAATCAATATATTGGATTTTCATTCTGACATCAAGTAAAGAATATCATTAATTTGGATAAAATTCTGATACCAAAGGATATAAAACAACTGTATACAAAAATCAAGATTTTCATTTCACCTCATCAAAAATACAAATTATTGATCTGTATTTATTTTAGGCTTTATATTCAAAAGTTAGCAACAATAGATAAACAAAGAGTTGGAATTCTGATAACATTCAATAATCAACCCATGAATCAGATCATAATTAAGAAATGAAATTAATAGCTACTTAAGTTACATTGTATAGCTTGGGTTGGGGCAGTTTATGCTTTAGTTATTACTAACCAGCTAACCACGAAGGGTTCATAAAAAAGCATAAGCTGTTCCAACTTGGATAACTATAAAATTTATTCTTTATGATTTAATTTTCTATCAACAAGTGTAAAAAATAAAAAAAATCATTTTCTCTTCAAAAATGTCTTCAAATTCTACAAATTTTAATGCAACATCAAGCAGATTTATGATTTTTTTAATGTAATTCATTGTGACATAGCTGGCCACAAAGGTTATGCAAAAGAATTTTTCTATCCAATCAAATGTAATGTTAAGACCAGAACTAAACTAGAGCAAGCTTACAAAATAATAACACCCCCCCCCCCTCCAGTTGCAATTTTTTTTAAAAGCCTCCATTTATACTTTGTAAATGTGACCTTGTACTTGCCAAAAAGACCTTGGGTGAAAAAAAAATACACATTCTCTTGTCATTTAATCTTTAGTGAAATTGACATCCACTATTTCTCCATTAGAAAATTATATATCTGTCATGAAATTTACACTTTTTTATACCAGTGACCTTGAACTTGCAAGAATAATCTGGGTCAAGGTCAGTACACATCCTCCATCATAAGCAATCTCTGTACTAATTATGAGCTTCCAATGATTCTCCATTGCTAAGTTATAGTCTGGACAAGAATTTTTATATACTTTTTCTGCCAGTGATCTTGAACTTGCCAGAAAGACTTTTGGTCAAAGTCATGACACACCCTAAAGTCAAATGTTTCTTTAGCATGACCTTCCAATGATTCTCTATTGCTAAGTTATTTTGCCAAGGGAAGAATGTTAAACTTCTCTCTGTCAGTGACCTTAAACTTGGCAGAATGACCTTGGGTCAAGATCATGAAACACCCTCGGATCATACGCAATCTCTGTACTAAGTATGAGCTTCCAATAATTCTCCATTGCTAAGTTATAGTCTGGACAAGAATTTTAAGAAACTTTTTTCTGCCAGTGACCTTTGATTTCCCAGAATGACCTTGGGTCAAGGACAGGACACATTCTCGAGCCATAAGCAATCTCTGTACTAAGTATGAGCTTCCAATGATTCTCCATTACAAAGTTATAGGCCGAACAAGATTGCACACAAAGACCAATGGATGGACAGATGAACAAGGTGATTCCTAAATACCCCCTCCCCCCTCCAAAAAAAACTTCATTTGTGGGAGGGGATGGGGGGAGGCATTTATTTGTAAGTTACTGCCCCAATAAGTAATCCTGCAGGTTCACTAAATGTAAGACTTGAATTGGCAACAGAATGAGTGTCAATACATTTTCTGGTTGTATAATGGCAAAAAAAAAATACAGTATTATTCTCCAAAACAAGAGGCCCAGGGGCCACATCGCTCACCTGAGCAC